TTGAGTCAAATGTATGAAAGATGATATATCATGAGCTTTGTAATGTTTTGAACAACCAATAAAAAAAATCAGCAGTTGAATAGGCAGAAGAAATAAATTTGAGATTTCAAGTTTAGCAATTATTTATTCAATTCATGAGATCTCGGTTGTGAAATAAGTTGGAGGATATGCTGTTGAATATAATTTAACCTCACTTTTATTTTGAACACAATTTATAATAGAGATCTCAAAAAGCCTATCCTGGCAATGTATAAGCTCAAATGACATTTGCACAATGTAATTCTCTAGTTTAAAATCTGTTTAAAGTGTCAATAAGAAAACAGGAGTATTTTACCTTTATATATTCATATTTTGTTTGTAAATTTATTAGCACATTTTAAGGTTTAAAAATCAACTAAATACTCTGGTTTTCCCTTTTAAATGCTTTTCAAGCATTTTAAAGGTCCATAAAACTCAATGAAATTTTTGGTAGACATTTTAGTTTCACAAAGGAAAAAAATTGATCTAYTGAGGAAGATCTGCTTGAGGCTACCTCAACAATTTGCCAAGAGACCTCAGATCCTTTGTCTCCTTTTTCATAAATCTATTGCCCGCTTCTCCCAACTTTCCCTATTTGAAGAGAAAGTTGTGGAAAAAGGAAAAAGAAAATAATAAATGTATTTTAAAATCCAGGAAGGTTGAAAGTGCAGACAAATGAAAATTAATTGAAGAAAAGTTAAAAATTAGTATGAAGACTTGATTTTTTTTTGATGAACAAATATAAATAACATAATAGCTTTCTAGATAACCACAATAAGAAATATGGAGACTTGAAAATATATCTCCATACTGTTTCTGGGGCAGCAACTCTTACCATGTCACATTTGTTTCACCAGCCTCTAGATTTACAAAGCCTGTTTTTTTAATCAGCCTATATAATAACGAATGAACTATTGGTCAATTAAGAAAAGGATAAGTTGTGCAGAGGTGTACTTTTTTTACCAAGTAAAATCTGGGGTCACTTAACAGTACATTTGATGTATAAATAATTCAGTCAATTGTGTCCCTGTACCTCTTCTTTTCGCTCTTCATTTCGTCTTTGGAATTGCCAATAAACCAATGCTCGCTGTGACTTTGGACTGCATTCCAAAAATGTGCTACTATTTTCTACTCCATAAATGATTCTCTCTTCAAGACTGTGGACATGATGATTATCTGGCCAGTGACAAGAAAATGAAATGAGACAATGTTAGAAAAGTAATCTCAACTTTTCAAGACATTTACCTGGAAATTCAGTAGATAAATTGTTGTCATGTTGGAAGCTGTTTTCAGATTGATTCAAGATGGCAGAAATATCAAGGCTGTAAGGGTTTCAGAATCCAAATGCCTACCTATATAGACTAATCATATTGTTATAGGTTGTACAAAGCATACATAGAGATTTTTCTACCTGCAAATAACATATTAGCAAAATCAGTGATATGTGGAGTATAACTAAATATCTTTATATTATATGATAATACTCTATAAGAAATTATTTTTACTATAAAACTCTTATCTATAACTAAATGGAGTCAGTTTGTATTATACTATCATCTAGCAGAAAAATTACTGAACTGGGCTTTTGGAAAGAAAAATCTGTTTTTCAGAAATTATTTTTGTCTCTTTATGTTTGCTTTTTATCTATAAAACTAAATTCACCAACCAATAATATTTATCTAGTATTTTACAGRAGGTAGAGATTGGGAAGTTTATACTCCCCACCAAAAACCCTTAAATAATCCACAAGTTTTTCCTGGAGATCAATTGGTGTGAAATGTTTGGGATGGCTCAGAAGAAAGATGCATAATTACAATGCAATGTGGTTTCAATCGTCCTTATTTTAAAATGACACATCTCTTATTATTTTCAAGAATTAGGCTGTGGAAGATGGCAAGAGTATGTAATAAAATGCAGCAATATGGAAACCTGTTTCCTGATTAAGTTTCTATTATTTTACCCTTTATGTAACCTCTTTCAATGTGGTAACTGAAACATAGCTCAGATCAAAAGTACGACACAGAGAATCTAGGTAAAACTCATTTGGAGAACAAAACTCCATATTATCTTATATAATCCTGTTTCCATTATGACATCCTGTACAATCTGGAACTCATTAAATTAATTTAGAAAATAATAAATGTATTTTCACATCCAGGAAGGTTGACAGTGTAGACAGATGAAAAACTTTTGCTCTCTACTTCAAACTTAGCTAGGTTTTTAATTTAAAAATTATTCTCTCCCCCCCCCCTTTTTTTGGCATCACTTTGACAGTTTTACTCATGTCATAACCAACTGAGTACTTTTGTCTGTCATAACTGATACAGCTTGCTTTCACTAGATTTCAGGATTTCCCAAACCCTTCTTCTATCCAATCCCTGGGCATGGCCTATGTTCCTTGTCTCCTATCTCACCCTGATGCAGTTGACCTGGGCCTCCACTTGCTATCCCCAGGGATATCAGCCCTCAGTGCCTGTTTCTCAACTGCCCTGAGTGTCAAACAAAACTCTTCCCATATTGGGAAGTATCTGTCCCTTCTTATTGAAAAGATCCACCCCCTGGAAACAAGGCAGAATAAGAAATGACACAAATGTAAAGAAACCACAATATTTAATTCATTCCAAGTCACGCTTTTTTCCCTATTAACGTTGTATCTCCTTGTGTGTAATTTCTACAATGAATATGGCATGCTTTTTTCCCTCTGAAATTATTAGTGCATCTCAAATTGAAGAAATATGGTACATGTTACTGTGCTAGTTTACAAGACATCTGTTCCCTGGATAGAGGTGAATTGAATTTCTATGTCCAACAGGGTCTGGAAAATCTGTGGTTCAGGAACTATCACCGAGGCCAATACTATTTATACACAGAATAGATTTTTTTCCTACTATTTTTTTTTTCAGTGTAAAAATGTTTGATCTAGAAATCTTTTTACTCTTAGGAAGAACTTTTCATTTAATCTGTCTGTGAATGAATCATAATGTATTTGGCTTGATAATATGTAGGTAAAAAAAACATGTGAAAAGCCATTGTCTTCTCTGTTAACAGGATGATGCTCAGAGTAACTTATTTATTTCTTGCCTGTTCTGTTTAAATTACCATCAAAATCTATCAAAGGCTAAGGTATGAGTAAGTTATTGCTCTCAAACATAGAATTCTATTTAAATCCCTTAATACATTAGTTGACACAGAGAAGATCAATGTGACTTCTATAATGGGGCAATTTATTTATTTATTTATTTATTTTGTTTTGTTTTTGCAGTGCTGGGAATGGAATCCAGGCCCTCAAACATACTGAGCAAGTGCTCTACCATAGTGCTATACCTTCAGCCCTAAGACTTACATATTATGAGAGAAAGTGCTTCACTATAAATAGATGCAATATCTTCAAAATTACTAAGCTGTCTTCTTTTCCATTAATCTATTCATTTCAGTTAATCTATTCATATAGTTTAACTTTTCTGATAGCTCTAGGAATCCTGTTTGGTTTTTATTTTCTTTTTAATGCATTTTCCAATGGCAGTGAACTGCTCTCAATGTACCAGAAAAAGAAGAAAGAAAGAAAGAAAGAAAGAAAGAAAGAAAGAAAAAAATAAATCATCTTAATAGTAAATGCCTTCTTACATTTAAAGTAATTCATCTTATCTGCTACTTTTCTATAGTTTAATCTGATAGATGATGATTTGTGGTTAAACAAAGGATTTATAGCAAGTTGTTTTTAGTTTAATGTGGTAATATTTTATGGCCTTTGCAAAATCATGACTTTTAGGTTCTTTCTCACCTTGATAAGATAACTACAACTGGGTAATTTGGTTCATTGGCTTGGTGCCTCCAGTTAGTCTGCTTTGATAACTACTCTTACCAATAACTTAGAATCTCATTCTTCCTTATCTCAACCCTTTCTTTCTCTCCTTTCTGCAAGCAACAATAAAAGAGAATTATCTTCTAGCTAGTAACCAGTGAAGTTTAAGATTCTGTCATAATAACTTTGAATCACAGTCTGTACACAGACTTTGTTTTGTTAAGTTCTTCTGCCATCAGCCATAATTATAGAAAGTAAATTTCCATTGCATACTGTTTTTCTTTTAATTTTCTATAATAGAATGTTTTGATCATCAGCAACATCTAATTTAAGACCATAACTTTCATTTAATGTGGTCTCAGCCCAGGACCCATATATTTGGGTGCACAGATATAACCATTAGTAAATCGTAATCTATTAATTTCCCCTCATTTGTTAAGTTATAAACAGAAACATAAAAAAGGTTTAAAAATAATTATTATAAGGCACTCAAAAAATATCCATTCTGTTCTCTAAGTGTTCTACCCTAACCATTTGCACAAGTTTTGTACAGGTAGGAAAGATTAAAGACCCAATGACAATGTGTTCTTCTCTCTCATTTTTTCTGTCTATCCCCTCCCTCCTTCACCCTCTCCCTCCCTCCCTGCCTCTCCAGAAAGATTATTAAGCAAAGGAAATACTGATATTCTTGTTTTCCTTCCTTAKTATATTCTTTACTTTTTCTTGGGACATTGTACTCTCAGTTTATTTAAGGCAAACAGATCTATATATGATTGCCTGCACAGTGTAGCTGTACTTTTCAGATAATGTATAGGCTTTATAGTTAACCAATGCAAATCGAAAGCTCAATAGTGTTGATTAAAGATTTACTGAGGACATGAAATCTTACATATTCAGGTTAAGTGTAAATTAATCTCTCTCTGGATTAAATCAGTTGACCTGAGAGCAGTTGACATGGAACCTACTGTGTTAATGGACATGGACTTTATTGAGTTGTTTGGTGGTATTCCCTGGATTGTGTCAAGGGAGCCCACAGCCAATACTTTGAGGTTACTCACTGTATTTCCATCACATTATTGTTGAGTATGGTGTTTTCTGCATTGTGATGCTGTGGGAGATTTTTCTCTGGCCTAGTTTTTRGGAATGATTAAGATTCTCTTGATCAACTGACTTTTTAAAGATGAATTTTGTGATCATATTCCCACTCTACATTGGCTGAAAATAAGACATTAGCCAAGTTGATGTCATTCCCTTCTAACTATTGGTAAATATGTTCTTGCTGCATGACTGGTTTTGTTCTCTGTCAGTGTACCTGCTTTGCCTTTGAAACACTGTTGTTATTGCTATCTTTGATTTTTTTGAATCAAACAAATGCAAACCATTTAAAATATATTAGATTATTTATCAAGTGTWGAAAATGCAGCGTTTTATAACGTTTTAAATATCTTTTTTGTTGTGATTAAAATATGTCTACATAAAATATTAGAACAATGTCTGGGCATAGTACAGTGGCATGTACATTAAGTGACGTTATTGTTACTTCTCTTGTGCTAGCTTAAACTGCCAATTCAAAACTTAATCTTTTTCTGAGAATCTCCACTAAACTAAATCACGAAATATTTTCCCACATCAATCCTATTCCCAAACAAGTATCAAAGAAAATATTTTCTTTTCAATATTTCCCCCAAATTTCTTTTCACATATCTCTTTAGAGCACATGTAGTCTTACTTGTTATAATTATTACAGAACTGGTGATCTTTCCCAATACTGTGTGCTCCATACCTGGCAGAAAGGCAATCTAGAATGCTTAGAGGATGTTTGCTGAACTGTAAATCCAGGCAACTACACTGAATTTAAAAGCTGAAATCTCAGGTAACTTTGACATCCTTAAGACAAAGAGTTATGATTTTGTGAAAGAAATGAATAAAAATTTCATCAATCAAAAAAGGCATAGGGATTATAACTCTGATTATGATAGAATACTTCATTAAACTGCTGGTGGATGTATGCCCAGCAACATTTTTTAAGTTTAATAAGTTATGAAAGTTGATTTGAGATATGCCAGGAGCAGTGATGACTAATCAAGTACATCCCAATATCAACAGTTCCAAATATGGGATAATAAGAAGATAATGTGATTTGAGAACTCCTATAAACATATTCTCACATCCCCAGGGAGACCAATACCACTGAAGATCCATGGGTGATCTTGTAGATTTCCAGAAAGAAAGCAATCTCACTGAAAATTGTTTTTAAATRCATCTCACACTTTGAAAGCAACTGTTTTGAATACAAACTTTTGTCATGAAAATTAGAGTAGACAAGAAGAGTAGAGTTTTAAATTGGCATAATAAATTCTCATGGGTTCAACAA